CATTATTATGTTTTTCAAAAAAATGTGAAATTTTACCTATTTTTCCAAATTATAAAGTTAATCACAAAACGATTGACCGATGTTTCATTTAGAACGGAACGATCTTTTCTAATGAGATTCTTAATGCATCGTTAATTTTCTCCCACAATGTAAAACAGTGAGATGTTAATTTAAACTAGGTTAATGAATTTCAAATGCGAAAAACTCACTCGTAAAATACAATGCAATTTCTCATAATTAAAACTCGATCACTCAAATTTCATATATATATAATTTATAAACTTGATAATGAAAAAAATGATAGCTCACGAGTATCTAATTTTTTTGTAAAAATTATTTTTAAATGTTTTTAAGTTATTATTTTTTTTTTGTAAAACTGATTGAAAGTTTTATAATAATTTAAATAATATTTAAATAATAATTAAAATAATAATTTAAAAAATATTTTGTTCAATATTTGGAAGTAAATTATGTAAATGTTATATATAGAAGATTGGTTATATTATATATTTGACGAAATTGTTCTGGTAAAACCAGTTGGTGGCAGGAAGCAAAAGTAATAATTATATTAAAATGGTTTTCGCACTGTTCTTTTAAAGACGCTAAAAAAGAGACAGAGAGAGAGAGAAAGAAAGAAATTCCTTGACTTTCAGTTTAAGGCGGCAAAAGATAAATAGTAATGCCCAAGATGTAAAAAGAATCCAAGATCTCTTATTACTTGCACGCCACGATCATTGCGGCATCGTCAAATGTCAGATAAATGTCGTTTTTTCTTGTTTTCTTGGTCAAAATGTCTTGATTTTCAAAAAAAAAAAAAAAAAATTCTTCAAATTCAAATTTTTTTAATATGGAAAAAATTATTCTTATATTGAAAATATATTGGCAGCTATTTTACAATACTTTATAATTAAATTTATTTAAAAATTTAATTTTACTCTAATTATAAGAGTATATTCTTAATTATGAGAAAATAATCTTCGTTTTAGTATATATTCTTATTTTAAAAGTAGCATATAATAAATTTAGGAATAAATTTTATTAAAGTATTCTAAAATAGATAAAAATATATTCTCATTTCAAGAATATAAAAAATTTAATTCAAATAATTTGTTACTTGACTATTAAATAAATTAATAAATAAATATTTACTTGAACCAAATAATTTTTATTTAAATTAAATAAATTGTATTTGAATCAATAATTTTTGTATTTAAAACAAATACCATTTAATTGACTTAAATAATAATTATTTAAAAATATTTATTTAATAAATAGTCAAGTAATCGATTATTTGAATTAAATAAATTTTTTTCTTATACTAAATTAAAGAATAAATTGTTAAATTAATTCTCTCAATTTTTAATTTTTTAAACTCTGAATCAAGAGGAAAATTCTATTTATATTTTTTCTTTCAAAAAACTAATTTTTCTTTTTTATAATTTAATTATTTTATTTTCCTCTTAATATGAGATTACCTTTTTTCTGGGTGTGTATATAAACTTGTAAATAAAATTGAAAATAAGTATATATACATAATAGATATAGAAGATAAATAACAAACTATAAATGTTTGTAGAGAGAAACATAATAGAATCTTGTAGACAATAAGTTCTTTGAACCCAATGATTGTGATGCAATCAACTTTTTCTTACAATGTGTGTTTTAGGTCTTTGAACGAAGGTATTGCATATAGCATTGTATTAGCAACGAGTAATAAATGTCAAACGACACGTCAGACGATCAACGAGGTGATTTAATAGACATTTGTATATTAAATAACCTCGGTGCATTAATTAGATCTCTCCTCTCTTTCTCTCTGTCTCTCTTTCTTTCTCACGGAATAATTTGCAATTGATCTCGAATATTTCAAGATATTCGCAGATTTACAAGTTTTGCAAACGGTGTTTATTGAATTAATAAATAATATATCGTGATGACAAGTGTATATGTTTTATAGAGAAAAACAAAAATTGAAATATAAATAATTTATGCGATCGCAAATAAAAAAAATACTGGGTAAAATATTATACAACTCATGAGAAATATAAACACCAGGAAAGAAAATTTTCAGTATCTATAAATCTTATTTTTTTTAAATACTGTTATTTACACTTAAAAAGCAGGAGTTAACATTTAACTCCCATATTAGGAGTTAAATATTAATTCTTTTTTAACAAGATTTATGAATATTTTTATTATTTTTACAATTTTTTCTTACATTTTATTAATATTTTTTACAATTAAAAAAAATTTTTTTTTTTAATATTTCTGATAAATTTATTTGGTGAAATTGAAATAACTAAATATTCAGTGTGCGGTGTAAGGATCTAATATATATATATATATATATATATATATGTATGTGTGCAGAAAAACACACCCGCGGAGAGTGCACGCGAACATTTCGTGTTGAATAGACGTGCGAGAACGCGAAATTTCTAGGGTGCAGTACCAAAGTGGTTCTCCTTGGATGCTGATGCCGCATTCCGGTCCACGAGTCCCCTCATCTCTTTCCTTCCCACATAATTATAAATTCAGGTGTTACAACCAACTTTTCTCAAATGCCACAAAATTATCTCTCTTTCTCTCTCTCTCTCTACTTTCCCGCGGTCGTATTTATCATTTTCTATACACTATATCCATTATGTTGTTGTTGATATTTCTATTTTTTTGGTTGGAGCCAAAAAAAATTTTAGGGTCAAAAAAAGTTGTACAATTGTCAACTAAATTTCTTATTATTATTAGAGAAGATTAAATATATATCTATGGCATTTGTCTTGGGTCCAGTCTTATTGCTACAAATACGAGAAAGTATCGAATTTCTCGGGGGAAAGTTAACGCATTAAAATATATAACTTTTGTATCATATATGTATATTTACAGATAGTTTGAATAAATATGTTAAACATTCTTAGCATTCAATTTTCATTAATCATCTTTATTTTCTATTTTTTCCACTCTATATAAATATAGGTTTCTAAAATATTGTTTTGTAACAAAAAAAAAAATTATTTCAAACACAAACAAATTTTTTTTGTTTGTCTCAATCGAATTTTGGAATTATTTAGTTTTGTAGAAAAAAATTATTGTCAAAGTTTGGTTAGGAATTAAATTAAGAATCAAAGTTGTTTGGCTATTCAAATAAAAATTCACTTAGAGAAAATTCTTTATTTAAATCAAATATATAATTTTTTTATATTAACACAATTTTTTGGTTGTTTCAAAAAAAAAAAAAAATTTATTTGATTTCAAAAAAATTTCATAACATTCAAATAAATATTTATTTGATCTAAATAAACGTTTGGTTTATTTTAAATAAATTTATATCAAGAAATAATTTGATGGGGCCAAATAAATTTTTTATTGATTCAACTAAAAGTTTGGTTAATTTTATATCAATACATAGTTAATTCAACCAACAATTTAGTTGTTTCAAACAAATTTTTTTCTGAGTGAATTATTTTGATTATTTGAGGTAAATAATAATATTTTGTCAATATAAAAATATATTTGGGTTTTTTTTTTTTTTTTTTTTTTTTGATTTGGAAATTGTTCTTTGAAGTTGAATTTTGTGTCACGGTCAATCGCATTGTGAGAGAGTAATAATAATATTTGTCCTCATTGTCTTTTGAATCGTAAAAAAAGAAAAAATAAAGTATAGCAATATAGCGTTTATTTGTTTCCAGTAGTGCATAGTCTAATAAATGCAATAAGAGTGCTAAAGACCGCACCCTGTTGCTCACTCTCGTGTCGAATGAAATCGAAACGAAAACAACGAAGAAAGCAGCTCTCGGGTGAAAGTCATCCAAAATGTCACAGGAGTTTAACCTTAAAGTGAATGCCAAAGCGAGTGTGTTATGCGACAAATACGCATATATGAGTTTCTTGCATAAGATTGTATGTATCTTCCAGCTCGGCAATTTTATGAATTGTATATTTATAGAGAGATAATTATTATTTTTGGCTCGATTAAGAAGGAAAAGTATTCAGGCTTTTTTTCGTTATAATTTTCATCTTCTCTCGAAATTTCGACTTTCTTTAATTTCTTTCTTTATTATAATTATTATTATTATTATTATTATTATTATTTTTATTTTTATTATTATTTGCTAATTAGTATTAATTATACACAATTAAAAAAATTTTTCACAAAAGAAATTTTATTAAATTAATCTGATAAGCGAGTTAAAATAAGAAAATAAAAACCATTTTATAGCGTTTCTTTCCAATTTTTGAAAAAATTAAATTACTTTTTCAATTCTTTTGTTTCTATACATATTCGTTGTATTGATCAAAATTTCGAAAGTTAGAGCTTTCTGAGTGAAAGTTGATTTAGTTAAAAACAAAATATCGTCCTTAAAAAATATAAATTTTATAACTTTTTAGATTATTTTTCCTTTTTTAAAATTTTATTCCAAAGATTTAAAAAATAACGTTTATAGCATTATTTTTTAATATTATTTTTTATTATTTTTATATTGTATTGTTTTATTAAATTTGAAAACAATTTTTTTTCTTGAAACAAAAATTACTAGATTTTTATGAAACGAAATCTTCATTTTGAAACTTTAAAAAAATAACAGATGGCTTTAATTTTCAAAAATTGAAGAATAAAAGGAAAAACGTCACTCTTATTCTAAATTTGTTATTAAAATAATAATGCTTTTACTTTAACGCAATGTTTATTGATATTTCATCATTTTTCTCTTCATCAATGAGAGTATAAACTAAACCGGAAATGACTAGAGAATTTTATGAAATTTATTAATCATACACGAAATCATTTAAATTGATTTGATAAATTAATATTCAATTAGTGAAAGTAGTTCAAAGCAGAGAAAAATCTTTTGTTCAATAATTTGACCGAATTTTTTTTTCGACAAATGTTCCTTAAAATTAGAATACAATTAATTTAACAGTTTATTTAATTGATAGTATTACATTTTTATATCAAATTTTGAAAATTTATCATTTTGTCATTCTTATTCTGAATTAGATCATACGTTTTCTTCTTTCTGAAATTAAAAAAAAAAAACACTGTCACGAAAATGTAATTTTTTTTATAAATTTAACATTTAGTTAAATTTAGTTTAGTTAAATTAAGTAATTGGAAATTTTGTTACAATTTAAAAAATATAATTTTAGAAATTAAAAAATTTCTTTTTGTCACTTACGTAATGGAGCCCAAGGAATGGCTTCTCCCACAATTGCCCAGCAAACAAGTAAAATTGTTACCACAAAAAGTGTTGAATAAACTTTCATTGTTGATTTATTTAAGGTAACTTAAAATTTTTTGTTAAATATTGAAAAAAAATTGTTCTTAGCTTTTTATACTTTTAATAATTTAAATAACTACAACCTTGGTTTTGTTTCATTATTGTTTAATGATAAAAGAATAATTTAAAACAAATTATTTTAAACGTTTTAAGGAAACTTTTTATCAAGTTGAAAAATAAATAAATCTATTTGGAAAAATAATCGTTTTCAAATTATATCAGGCCTCTGTTTATATAAAATAATATATTGTTTCAATTAAAGTAAAATTTTAATCATTAAATTAAATTAAAAATAAAATTATAAAATACAATCAATTCAGCAGTTTATTTATCATATTTTTCGATATTATTATACAATGAAGTAACTTAGTGTTGGATTTACATTTAATTTAAAACTTGCTAAATTTTCTAAGAGACATCAATCATGATGGAGCACGTTTCTCTCTGCCTTAAATGAAAAATTTGCATTTTATCACAAAATTCAAACATTACAAATTTTTTTTCTTTTACTTACAATTATTGTTAAAATATAATTTATAAATTTTATAAATTGAATTATTTTACTTACTTATTGGAGCTAGAGGAGCAGCTGCCTCTCCCATAATTGCCCAGCAAACAAGTAAAATTGTTGCCACAAAAAGTGTTGAATAAACTTTCATTGTTGATTTATTTATAATGTAACTTCAAAAGCAGAATATTGAGAAAAAAAACATTTACTTGTCTTTATATACTCACGCTCAATACTTTTTTTTTATTATAAATTTATTTATTATCAACTTTGGCCTTTCTCATTATTGTCTATGATAAAAAAACAAATTTCTTATCAACCGGAAAAAAAATTATATATTATTAGTAGAGAAAAATATTGCACAAAGAAAATAAATAATTTATAATAAGACATTTTTTTAAATTAAAATAAAATAATAAAATAAATAATTTTTTTAAATAATAAATAAATAAATAAATAACTTATTATGAAATTAAATTTAAAATTATTATTTATTTTTAAACTAAAAAATTTAAATAAAGATATATAACTTTTATAGGCAAAAATAAAAAATTTTATTTAAAACAATATCTTAGGTCATTGACTTTTGAATCAATTAAATGTCCTTGTGTTATCAAATGCCTACGAAAGAAATAAATATACACATGCGGACGATATATAAAAAAAATTTGTTATATAGAAAAAATTTTTCTGTTGTACAATGTTTTATTGTGCAATAAACATTAAGTAACATAAGAAGGTGACGAAAGGATTCATTATATTGTTTCAGAATTCTATTTTCTCCAATAAACGTGGGTAATTTTAACTTTATACATTTCCTGTAAAATGTTGATGGATTTTAATGCATGAAAAATAGTGTGGGTTTATGTAAATTATTAAAAGATGTTGATTAGTAATAATATAATATATTGCCTACTTTTGTAGCATCTGCAGTTCATTTTTAATATAATTCATACAAATTGTTTTCAATTTTTTCATTTTTTTTTATTTTTGATTTCAATTTGCTTTTCAAAAAAAAAAAAATTTAATACTTTATTTCAGTTATTGAATAATTTTTTTAGTTCCTTTTTTTATTATCTTATGATAATGTGGGACATTTAACATTTTAAATTACTAGAAAAAAATAGAACTAAAAAATTATTATCTTTATATTTAAAAGCCGTATGACAATTACTTTTTTTGTAATAAAGACTTTTTGTAAAAACAACAAAGCATTAAATTACATAGATAACGATAAATTTTACAAAATAGAAACCCCTAAATTTGAGTGTTTAAAAAAGCGAGACATTTTTTTTTCAAAATAGTCACAAAAATATTCTCGCAACAACGATGAAAGTTTTTTCAACATTTTGCATAATGGCAATTTTACTTATTTTTTGGGCTTCAAATGGGCAAGCTCTAAAGGCTTATCAAAGTACGTAAATAAATTATAAAAAGAAATTATAGGGACAAATTTTTAAAAAAAATTTACAATACACGGAGAAAAAGGAATGGTTGGGCCAACCATAGGTATTGATAAATACGTCCCATCAATATTATATGGTTACCACAACCATATCTTTAGTTGATACAACCATAGTATGGTTGGCGCAACCAAAGGTCAGGTTGACACATCAAATTTGCAATTTTTCGTCATTTTGATGTGACAACCTAACCTTTGGTTAGGCCAACCATACTATGGTTGTATCAACTAAAGATATGGTTGTGGTAACCATATAATATTGATGGGACGTATTTATCAATACCTATGGTTGGCCCAACCATTCCTTTTCTTTCCGTGTACAATAGAAATATAATATTTTTTAATTATAATAATAGTTTATTATATTATCTTTTTGTTATAAAAAATATAATTTTTTTTTTAAAGTATTTTATACAATATTTTTTAAATATATTTTTCTTTTTATTTTAGATAAAAGAAAACGTGCGGCTGTTTGGCTTCCCTGATAAAAAAAAATAAAGTAATAATAATATAAAAAATAAAATAATAATAATAATAATAATAATAAATAATAGTGACAGAGTAGTATAAATTGGATAAAGAAAAGTGGTTGTCTGTGATGAATATACGTAATCTGAAAATTGAAAAATAAAAAAAATTTGACCAGAAGTTATGACAATTTTATGTTGATTATATTTTATTTAAGAAATTGTATAATTGAAATGCTTGTTTAACCTGATGTGTATATGAAATTTCCTGGTGCCCACGAACTAGTTTTCTAAAGTCTGAAGAATGTTAACAAGAAATATAGACACGTATTAAATAAACGGTTCAACTTATTCTCACGTAGGGTCTTGACAAGTAGAACACGATTTACCTTAAATGGAACTATAATTCTCATAAATTTTTTTTCCAAAGAAATCTTAAGGTAAATAACCCCATTATTGCTATTGTTTGATTAATTTAAAAATTTGAAAACATAAAAATCACATTAGAATTAAAATTTTTTTTCTTTGCATTTTTTTTTCTCCATTAAAAAGTTGTTCTTAATTTATTAAAAATTCTTATTTCGACATTTGAAAATGTTTTAACCATATTATATTTGGGATGTAGAATAAAAAAGATTCGAAGACCAAGTGTTAAAAATTATTGCAGACCTCGTCGTCTGTTTAAAATCTTAAATGGTTAAAACGAATGATTCCTGGAAGTTTGGGGACCATAAGGGACCCTGAGATCGTGTCTTTTTTCTGAAACCGGATTTTCAAGCCACGTGTGCTGTGTGTCGTGCTTGCATCGGTTTCAGTTTCCTTATATCCGATATAATATATGTTGCAAAAAAAAAAAAAAAAACTCCGACAAGGTGACCTAGTTATTTGTTATTATTATTATAATAAAGAAAGGTTATAATGCCGCCCTCTTATTGTATTTTTTTTAAAAAAATTCGATTCTTCTAATATGGGTTGAACTGGACCCTCTCTATAAATAATTATTATATTAGATAACAATTAAACCTTGAGAGAGATTTCTAAAAAAAAAAAATATTAGAAGTCCGGACTAGCGTTACATTTTAGTGGCGCTAGTTTCGGTTTCTTTGTCTCGTACTCTGCGTGCGCTGCATAGCAAGAGTGGGGGTAGCCAATCGCTGCGCTTCTTTCCCTCCTTACACCCAGAGATAAAAAAAAATATTTTTTTAATTCAAATAAATTATATTTTTGATTTAAATAATTTTTTTTTCATTTTATAATAAAAAATAAAATAATAATATAATAAATAATAAATTAATTAATTTTTTTAATATTATTAATGTGGTGAATTGAAATAGACAAATTTGTTCGATTTTGTTCAATTACTATTCAATTCAGACATGTGGAGTGTCATATTCATGGAAAAGCCATTGTTTGCAGTGACAGAATATTCTCGTAGGTTCATGTCTCTGAGAGACTCGTGTATGTCGTGTGGGACGTCTAACTGCATTTCTCCTACGTGACGCACTTCACACGCACTGACAATGTACACACGGCATATAGGTAAATATCCGAGGAAACGAATAACTCTTCCACGAATATCAAAGAACAATGACAGTGATAAAAAAAAAAAAAAAATTAAAGAAACGAAGTCCCGACAATTCTTTACATATCGCCTACGCTCTCTATATGGACATTTAGTTTTCTGCATCCATAGAGAAAAAAACATATATTTGTCTCAAGAGTGAATTTAATATTTATTTGTTTAAAAAAAAAAAATTATTTGGCAAATATTTTTTATATAAATGTGTAACGTTTTAGAATATTAACTTATTAACAATAATGTTATATATGTATTAGGAAATTTGTGTTTAACTCTCTAAATTTGAATTAGTGGAAAGTGATTATAATTAGTATAAATTTCCTCTAATTATTTATGTTGCGTAATAATAATAATAATAATAATAATTTGAGTCTTTTATTACATTATATTGATTAAATTTTACAGAGAAATTTCTATTGTTAAAAATTTTGTTCGTTAGAATTTAACATTATCATTAATCTAATTAATAAACATAATGTCAATTTATTTTTATGGTCCATTTGCGAGAACTTTCAGTTCTGCTATAAAATATAAATACACATTCTTCTTTTTATAAGTAAGCAAATTGGAGAATAATGTATATTTTATTATTCCACTTTTTTTTATATTTTTTTCAAAATTTATCTATAACTATTTATATTTGGAAATTAATTTTTTTTGTTTTAATAATAAAAAGGTGAATAATAAATCAATTTAAATTATTAAAACAAAGTATTATAAATTATTATTATTATTTTATTTTTTTATTATTTTTTTTTATTTGGAATATTTGTGCTTATTTGAAAATTTAAAATCATATTGTAAATTTAAAAGTACTTTCCACGTCTTTGACTGAAACTAAGAATAGTATAGAAAAGCAATATCACTTTCCCGGCTTTCTTGAAGTGGCCACGCCCAATTCTTGCAGTTTTGTATACGTAAATCACGTTTTATATATGTGGTTTGATTGCTGAGGAGAAAGACTCTTATCTCTTATATTCAAATCATAAAGATTGTATTATAAAAATTATTATAAATTTTAAGTATGACCTTGTTTTTGATTTAAATATATATATAAATAATTTATGACAAGTGAAGAAATCTGACTATATAATAAAATTTGATTCTATATAAAACCGGAAGATCCGGTGTATCTACTTTTTTTTCATGAAAGTTGTCAAATTGTTCGATTAATATATTCCCGCGATTATAAGAATGGAACTTTCCGTGTCACGCCTCTAAACTGGATTTTTATTTTAAAACATTTTTTTTTATAGAAAATTTTTAAATATTTCAATCTTTATTGTTTCTTTTGTTTTATTAACTAATTGCAATTAATTATTTCAATCCATTGTTTCTATTTTTTTTATTCATTACTGTTATAAATTAATTCATTGCTTTTTTTAAAATTATTTCAAAAAATAAATAATGTTTTTTTTTAATTATTATTTAAATATTAAATTAAAAAATTGAATATTAGTATTTACCTACCGTCGATTTTTAATATTGACTGTTGGAACAAAGTTTTTAAAATAAGCCTGGATGGTGATGCTTTCTACCGGTCGTGAATTAAACTTTATATAAAATAATCTCGCGAATTCTACATTATCAACATTTGTTTCCAAGTTAACAATTTTTTAAATATATGAATTTTTTTCCTTTAAATTTTATATTAAAATTTTTTATCGTCTTATAAATTTAAAATCAAAACGTAACAAATGTTAATAAATTATTATTTTATTACTTTTATTAGAAATTAAATAAATTAATTATCAACTGGATTATAAATAATAATACTTATATTATTTTAAGAATAATAAATTTCTCTGAGACAAATATATTTTTAATTAATTCAAATAAATTATATTTAGTTTGAATAAAAAAAATTTCTTTAATTATCAAATTTTAGTTTGATGAGTTGTTTTTTTAGGAAAGAATAATGATTCTTAAGTATAAAAATTGATTTATTTATTAAGCTCGTAATACACGTCATTATTAACTAAGGTCCCCCTCGATTAGCTAGAAAAAAAAGAACATTTTTCGATTTATTTATACAATGTATAGCTGTGGTATTTATATAAATTTTCTCATGGCGTTTATAAACTTACCATTTAGCAATAGTGAAGGGTTTACAGGAATCAGAAGGCCTATCATAGGTTTCTCCTGTAGCACATTGAACAAGTTCTGGTCTTTCTTTTCTACAAACGATTACACTCGTACAAGAGTCATTTAACCTATGGATAAGACCAGATTGGCAAGGAACTTTTGTAAACTCTAATGGAATAGAATTTAGAACTTGTTCCCATGGATTTGATATCGTTAGGGCTTCTATATCCTCATTCTCCGGACTTGTCTTTAAAGCATAAAATATTATATTAATTTATTTTGGGGCGTATGATTGTTCCTTGAAAATCATTAGTTAAAATTTTCATTATAAAGAATTTTATTAGATATAATTACTTTTTCAAAACAAATTTTCATTTTGCGAATTAGATAGAATATTTTTAAACGAATTTTTACTTAACAGAAATTTTATTTTGCATGTATATTCTCTTCACACAATTTTTATTTAAACGAATTCTAATTTAAGAAAATTTTATGTGATTCGCATTTTTAAATAATAGAATTTCTAATTCACTGAATTTTAATTTGTCCGAAATTGCAAATGACCGAACAGACAATTGTCAAAAAGATTAAAAATTTTAAATGTAAAATAAAAATTCTGACAAATGAAAATTCGTTTAAAAAGAAATTCTATTAAATGCCAATTCGAAAAATAAAAATTTATTTAAAAAATAATTATATCTAATAATTTCTTTAAAATGAAAATTCTAACTAGTGATTTTTTCTTTTATGGTAAATTTCATTTTTCTGGAATTTTCAACTATTCAAATTTTAATTTAAAATCTATTCTTTGATTACATTCTCGAATTACAATATTTGATAAATCTTATATTTTTTGTAAATTTTAATTTTGTTATCAATATGTTTTGAAATAGTAAAAAAAAATAAACTTTTAGCAAAAGGAAAATAATTCAAGTGAATCATTAATTAAAATAAGATAGATGAGAAATCATACAAATAGTGATTCATCAAACTCGATTCACTGTTTTTTATTATTTTTTTTTTTTGTAAATTCCAACTCTACCTGCTCCAGACTGTCGTTGTCAAGTTCTATTTGTGTTGCAGTTGGTCGTTGATGCCAAGGATCAGGTTCTATCCTGGTTCCTAGGGGGGGTGGTTGATAGGGGGGAGGATGGGGACCAGTTGGCGGCTCCCACGGATTCACAGGTGGCCTTGGAGGACCAACTGGAAATGTTGGTTGCGTACTTTCTGGAGGCGGCGGTGGTCTGGGGGTGGCTGCTCCTTTGCAATCAACTTTATAAGGGTAGTCACACACTCCTAGTTCCTTTAAAAAAAAAAAAAATGTGAATTTCTTCTTCACATTATTTTCAATTGTTTTTTGAAAATTTTTCCAAATTTTTGAATTTAAATGATCGTATTTTTGCAATTAATGATTATTTTAAATAATAATACTTTCTAAAAAATATAACAATTTCGTTATAGTTGAATAGTTTTGTTATTTTTTTTCTTAATGCGATCATAAAGAAGCGAATAGCGTATTGCGTTTTTAGAGGTCTCGAGAAAGGTGAATAGACTCGATATTATTATTTGTTGCGGCAAGAGAGTGAATTTAGAAAAAAAAAAAAAAAAAAAAATTGTGAAATGTAGAAGGGGTTTAAAGGAAAACGGATACTCACGTCATTGTAGACCAGTTCGGCTGGACAGTTAAACTTGATCGGGCTTCCATCGAGGCAAACGTAGAATTCTGAGCAGTTGGTTGAGCTTCTGTAACGCCCATTCATTTCTGGGCAGCGTCTTGAACCCGAGGGTAATGGAGGTTCTGCAAAGAAAAAAAAAAGTTGAGGCAAAATTCAAGATTTAATGCAATGTTCGGCACATACATCGATTTATATAAAATTATCCACCCTAGGTAATTTTCTCTAAATGAGGGTTTTCGTAATTAAGATCGGATATGAGATTTTTTAAATTCTGTCTAAAAACATAAATTCAAGAAACCATTTTTTTATAATTAAAAACTGAATTAAAAACAAAGATAAATAAATCGTTATAATTAAGTTAATAATAATAATAATAATAATAATAATTTTTTAATATTTGTTTAATAACTTAAACTTCACAGAAAATTAAAAGGCATTAAAATAAGCTGCAACGCTTCTTATTTTAATCCAATTTTGCTTATTTTAATACCAAAATGGATTAAAATAAGCAAAATTGGATTAAAATAAGAAGCGTTGCAGCTTATTTTAATGCCTTTTAATTTTCTGTGTTTACAAAAAAGTATTTCACTTTGTTTCGAATTTTTTTCTTTGTGCGAAATTCTTTTGCATGAAAAATAGAGAGGAAAAGTATCAATTTGTAAGTCATAAAATCCATAAGTATAATTTGCATCGTGTATATATTTTAAAAATAAAATAAAAATTCGATTGTAGTTGCACAAAGTCCTTCAGTTTAAGGTCAAAGAAAATTTTACTTGCAATTCGTCTGGGTATTTTAAAACTATTAAAGTCTGACGTGAAATTTGAATTCAAGACGCTGCTGCGTACGAGATTTATCGACTGCACAATTCTCTAAGATATCCAATCTCAATGTTCCTTTTTCCAATCACGTTCTTGATTCGTCGAATAATTTTTGTACACACGTTCAAAATTCTGTCATTATTTTATTTAAAAAGTCCAAACACGACCCCTACACAGTAAAAACAAAATCTGAAACCGAATGTAAGCTTACTTTAATTTTTAACTTATTTTAAGCAAGAAACTTTATTTAATAATGAAAATTAGCTTAAAATAAGAGTTAGTGGTTCTCTTACTATAAATAAGCTTATAATTCGACTGATTTTTAATTCACTGGTCTTAAGTAAAAAAAAGACGACAGTGACTTTTTAAAAGTCTTTACTTGAGCTGGGTGTCAGTCCGCCGAGTCTTAAAGTGGTAGTTGTGACGTCACAGGCAAAACGTCTGTTGTGAAAACGCCATAGCGTACGCGTACAGTGAAGCGTGGTTGAGAAATGATTTTCTCGTGTTTTAATTTTGGTTTTATTCATTTATAATTCACAAGAATGGGTTTTTTTACTGGGTTTTTAATATCGAATATTCCAGCAAAGCACGCATATCTTTCACCTTTGTCTCAGCTATACTATTTAGAAAAAAAGTCGCTAAATATTACCAAAAGTACAAAACTGTGTGGAACTTGTTGGAAGAGCTTAAATTATTCTAAACTGTTAATTCCTAATTTTATATATTTATATATATATATATATTACGTATAATGTTATTTTTTAAATTTAGTTTGCAGAATTGAAAATGAAAATGACAAGATTTTTTTAAATATAAAAGTTCCTCGTCATTTTCATTTAAATAATGCAAATTTATAAATTAGAAAAAATTGTTATAAGTAATATAAATATATATATATATCAAAATTCTAATATGCTTTTAAGTCATAATTTAGGATTATTATCACACCAGGTTAACGCTGAAAGACAGTCTGTAAGGAAGCTTAATTTCAGCCCTCTTTTAACATAAGACTAAATGATAGTCTAAAACCTAACTGAATTTCAGTTCTTCAACAAGCTTAGAGCTAAATTTCAGCTCGTATGACATCTTACTTATAGTAAGATAAGAGTATTCTTTTTAAACATTTTTTGAGTACTGATTTTCAGTCAATATGATCTACTTCCGTTTACATCTTGAAAAAAGACAACTTATAAGCTTAAAAGAAGATTTTGTTTTTACTGTGTAAATATGCCTAGAATTCGACTTGTCATATCTCTCTCTTTCTATATGTAATAAATAAGGATTCCCCCATGACCTTCGAATTATTTCCTTATTTGACAAACTTCTTCTCTCTGCTTACGAATTTTTTGTTTTTAATTCGAATTTGAAATTCAATGGTTTTGTTTCTATAATTTAGTTTTTTTAATAAAATTTTTGTTTCCTTTTATTTAGTTAATTTAAGGAAAAAAGTTGATAATACCGTCTGTTGCTAATTCAGAAATCAAATTCTAAATGTATTTATTTTAATTTAAATTAGTCAAATTCGGTAGAAAAAAAATTATTGTCGTATTTAGATTAGTCCTCAGATAAGGGATTGCTGCTAAAATTTTGAAAATATCATTTATAGTTTTTGACAAAGAAGAAAAACAAAAGTTTTTCTGAATTTTTAAATTAAACAAAATAAAAAGTTCTGGAGTTGTTTATATATAAATTTGCTACTAGTTATTTCTTAAGAAATTAAAGGGAATTATTTGAAATGTATTTTCTTCTCCTAGCAGTGAATTTGTTTTTCTTTAATTTCCGTTTCATAAATGAATTTCCGGTTTTGAAATGAATGATGCTAAAGAGGTAAAATTGCGTGCTTCTCTTTTCTCTCTCTCTCTTTCTCTCTTGGCAACTATCGTGTCGATCCTATCAATCAAAGCGGGTATAATTTTCTCCTTTGAGCATCATCGTGTGTTGAGCAAGCGAATTAGCATTTTAATTATTATGCGAAGGGATATAGTCATTTTAAATGCTGTTGTAACGCTCACTATATACATTTGTTGCATTAAAATGATCATGTTCGCGCCGCGGGTGTTTCTCATATTACACAGTGTCAGGCAGAGTTCGCGAGTGCTTGCAATAAATCATTTTGTTTTAGTCACCGCAACAAAAAGATAGCAATGGCTACCGATCAATTATTATTTTACAGACAATTACAAATTCTACCTACTTGATGTGGGTCCAGGTCTATTGCCGCACTTGACATTGTCTGCGAAGTCACAGTAGCTCTTTTGTTCATTAAATAGTAATCCATTAGGACACTTTTCCTCGATAACGGTCTCGTCCCAACAATTCAAATAATTTGCACAACTTTTTGGACTTGGGAATTGACCTCTTGGTTTAGGACACTGACTAGGACGGGTTGGGGGTTTTGGTGTCCAATTACCACCAGGTGAGCCTGGTGTTCCTGGTGAACCTGGAGTTCCGGGCCAATTGCCGCCAGGTGATCCTGGTGTTCCTGGAGAGCCTGGAGTTCCAGGCCAACTTCCGCCAGGTGATCCTGGTGTTCCTGGGGATCCAGGAGTGCCTGGCCAACTTCCACCAGGCGTTCCTGGTGATCCTGGTGAACCTGGAGTTCCGGGCCAATTGCCGCCAGGTGATCCTGGTGTTCCTGGAGAGCCTGGAGTTCCAGGCCAACTTCCGCCAGGTGATCCTGGTGTTCCTGGAGATCCAGGAGTGCCTGGCCAACTTCCACCAGGCGTTCCTGGTGATCCTGGTGAGCCTGGAGTTCCCGGCCAACTTCCGCCAGGTGTTCCTGGCGTACCTGGTGAACCTGGTGTTCCGGGCCAACTTCCACCTGGTGTTCCTGGTGTTCCAGGTGAACCTGGAGTTCCAGGCCAACTGCCGCCAGGTGATCCTGGTGTTCCAGGGGATCCAGGAGTGCCTGGCCAACTTCCGCCAGGAGATCCTGGTGTCCCCGGTGTTCCCGGCCAACTTCCGCCAGGCGTTCCTGGTGATCCTGGTGAGCCTGGAGTTCCCGGCCAACTTCCGCCAGGTGTTCCTGGCGTACCTGGTGAACCTGGTGTTCCTGGTGAACCTGGAGTTCCGGGCCAATTGCCGCCAGGTGATCCTGGTGTTCCTGGAGAGCCTGGAGTTCCAGGCCAACTTCCACCAGGTGATCCTGGTGTTCCAGGGGATCCAGGAGTACCTGGCCAACTTCCGCCAGGCGTTCCTGGTGTTCCTGGGGAACCTGGTGTTCCAGGCCAACTTCCACCGGGTGATCCTGGTGTTCCTGGAGAGCCTGGAGTTCCCGGCCAACTTCCGCCAGGTGATCCTGGTGTTCCAGGGGATCCAGGAGTGCCTGGCCAACTTCCGCCAGGAGATCCTGGTGTCCCCGGTGTTCCCGGCCAACTTCCGCCAGGTGTTCCTGGAGAACCTGGAGTCCCCGGCCAACTTCCCCCTGGCGTTCCTGGTGATCCTGGAGTCCCAGGCCAACTACCTCCAGGAGAGCCTGGTGTCCCCGGTGATCCTGGTGTTCCAGGTGAACCTGGAGTGCCTGGCCAACTGCCGCCAGGAGATCCTGGTGTTCCGGGTTGTCCCGGTGTTCCTGGAGAGCCTGGAGTTCCTAAAATTAGGATAACCCTTCGTTATTTTTGACTAGGATAGGAATATTTTTGCGTTTCTTTTGTTAAAGTTCTATTCGTGTACTAAAAGATTAGACCAGAGTACCTGGTTGTCCTGGTGTCCCTGGAACACCTGGTCCTGTTGGCCATCCGGGGTGATGTGGATGTCCCGGTAAATGTGGATGTCCTGGCAAATGTGGATGACCTGGAGGATGTCCTGGTAAATGTGGATGACCTGGAGGATGTCCTGGCAGATGTGGATGACCTGGAGGATGTCCTGGCAAATGTGGATGACCTGGAGGATGTCCTGGTAAATGTGGATGACCTGGAGGATGTCCTGGTAAATGTGGATGACCGGGAGGATGTCCTGGTAAATGTGGGTGACCAGGTGGATGAGGGTGTCCTGGCCAATGTGGATGACCTGGCTTTATTGGATGAGGTGGTTTTCCAGGTTTACTAGGTGGTACTGGTTGGCCTGGTGTTCCTGGTATTCCAGGCTGACCTGCAGTGATGTATATGGTTTGAACATGATCTAACATTGACAACTTTCTGAATAAGAAAATGATCAATATTACTCACCTGGGGTTCCAGGTTGTCCAGGTGTGCCAGGTTGACTTGGTGTTCCTGGTGATCCTGGTGTTCCAGGTTGTCCAGGTGTGCCAGGCTGACTTGGTGTTCCTGGTGATCCAGGTGTTCCAGGCTGTCCAGGTGTACCTGGATGACTTGGTGTTCCTGGTGATCCAGGTGTTCCAGGTTGTCCAGGTGTACCTGGATGACTTGGTTGTCCTGGTGTACCAGGTTGGCTTGGTGATCCAGGTGATCCTGGCGAACCTGGTGTTCCCGGTTGGCCCGGCGATCCTGGTGAACCAGGTGATCCAGGACTTCCAGGTGATCCGGGAACTCCAGGCCATCCTGGTTTCGGAGGATTTGGTGAATCAGGATTTCCTCCAGAACTTGGGAAACCCGGAACACCAGGCCATCCTGGTCCACCTGGTGGTCCTGGTAATCCTGGGTATCCCTGTCTTGCTTGAACCGATGGTTCTTCAGTTGATGTGTCTACGTCGTTCGTTGAACTCTGCCATGAATTTTTTCGTGTATTTATTTTCTGTATATCTACGTTATCCCACAATTTATCCAAATCTGTAATCAATTTATATTAACATTGATTTTTGAAATTCAACCAGATGATGAACAAAGATATAGAGAAACAGTTTTAACGGTAATTTGCGAAATTAAAATTTATTAGCATAATTTTCGACCAGAAGATATGACATACAATACTAGGATCATTGACAAGATTTATTAATGACTTCTTTTTTTTGTAAAAAATTATTTACGTAATGGGTATAGTGTTATTTGAATAGTGTATGCAAATCACGTGTGACAAACTATTATATGTAGCGTATCAGAGAAGACGCCAATATTAATATTAATGGTTAAAATTTTCTAGAGACCTTTTTACATGTATTCTAAAGACGTTCAGAACTAAAAGTATTTCTTTGACCCTGTACGCTAATGTTCAAGTATATTGAATTCCTTTATCAAAATGAGCATTTGTAAAGATTATAATGATCATTTAACGAGCAAGAAGATAAACTTAATTTACAAATAGGACAATAAAGATCACATTTCATTAAAATTCGCGTAAAGTCTTAAAGATATGAAAACCTTTTAAGATCAAATCATTAATGTTGTTATTCTACAAAACAAAAATTAAATTAAATAAATAGTAAAAATAAAATAAGTAAAATAAAAAAATAGAAATAATGTTTTAAAATATAATTAATACATAAAATTACTCTAAAAAAATGTCCAACTCAATTATAAATTAATTTGTCATCTTATTTGGTGAAAATCTCTTCATATTAATTAGAATTATTATTAATTTATCATTAATTAATAATTTATTAATACAAACATAAAAAAGAGCTTTCTTTAAAGTGATAAACATTTAAAAAATTCTAAGTGGATAATAATTTCAATTGATAATATGATAGGAAAACTTTTGTATGTAATTTAAGAGCACTTACAAGTCATTAATTTATTAATGAAGTTGCCCTTGCTTTATAAATCTCGTCCCTTAAGACTTTAAGTCATTAAAGTGAGCCCACACGATAAAAGATAAGTAGGTTTCAGATATCTAACTATATATATATATATATATATATATATTCGAGTACTTATAAGATTGAAAGTATCATCTGCAAATTTTAAAGAAGCCTTGATTTTTTTTTAACTTTCAGTATATGATCCAAACATAAATTGACATAAATTAGTTTGGAGAACATTGCCAAACGAAATAATCGTTATTTTTATTGAATTTAAATAACCAATTACTGAAAATATATTGTTTTAAAAGGCGAATATATAAAGTGTATTTTTAATGCAGATGGTATTTTTTTTTTTTTTTTTTTTTTTTTGGAAGGATTGATAATTGCAATTTTCTTTTCTTATATATTTTTTTCACATTGTAATTGATTTTGATTCTTTATTTGAGTTTCTTTATTATATTGAGATAGGTCATTACTAAAACGTAATAAATAAACCATTACTGTGCTGTTCGGTATCGCTATTAATTTATTAACGAAGTCACATTAGGAGTATATACAGTGCTCCCAGGTGAAATTTATTATCCTGTATGGAATGCTTGCTAGCTGAGCGATAAGGGGAGGTCTCAACTTCTCAGTGACATAAGTAATAAGTGTCAAAAGATTAAAATTCAGTTCGATATTTATTTATTAATATTCGTTATATTATATATTTTTGTTATGAAAATAGAATATAAAATATAGTGAAAAAAAAGGAAGTAAAGAATTTTAATTTGAAATGGAATTTTTCTTTAAAAAAAATTAATAACAACTTTAATATATAAAAGAATATTTAAAAAATGTTTTTTATGTATTAAATAATATAAATATTAATTAATAATATTAATAATAATAATAATAAAAATAATAAAAATATTTAATATAATCTATTATAATATTAGATAAAAAGAAAATAAAATTTGAAAAATATTTTTTACATAATCGAAAAAATTAATTGAAATATAGTTGAAAAAATTTTTGTGCGGAAAGAAAATATATACCGTTATTGTAATTTACGTTATAGAGTGTGTTACAGTTTAAAGCATAGGTATGTGTTGTGCGGTTATTGTTCTCTCGTTTGTAAAATAGGAAGGGAAACTATTTTTCTAAAAGTCTTTTAAAGAGAAGGAAGAATGTATATAGTATAAACGGGGCTCACTTGCCTTAATGAAGATACACTAACCGCATCGTAAATCACGTCTACATTCTGCGGTTTGTAATTTACTAACGAATGCATGTAAAATAAACGATAACGCAAGTTCAAGATACCTCACGATTAGCCTAATAAGTATACATGATAGTGTAATGCATGGTAGCAATGCGCGGTATGACAAATAAACAAAAAAAAAAAAGAAAGAAAAAGAAATGAAATGATCTCTTTCCATGAAAGTGAAGATTCACTCTTATGGGAATAAAGGCATCTTCCATTGAAGTGTATAACCTTGGACCTTGATTTATTTGTAACTGAAGTGAGTCTGCACTGTAAATCATGTCAGCCTTTTAAGGTTCGTAACTCTTTGATGAATACAGGAAAGATAAAAGACCGACTATCAAATGTTCCGACTGTCAAGTAGTCGTATATATATGTATATATATCCGATAACAACTGTTGCCAACGTTTTTTTTTAAAGGGATTTTACTATCTATTGTAACATTTCAGAATTTTTTTTTCACAATTTTCCTTCTTTTTCTTTCTTTTTTTTTTTTGATAAAGAAAAAGATGCGAATTCATTGATTAATAATTAACTGCGAAATAGATCGAAAATAAAGGATTAAGTATAAATAATCGGTATAAAAAAATAAAGAAAATAATTAATAAAAATAAAAATAAATAATTAATAAAATAATAAAAATAATTAATAAACATAATAAATAAAAAATATTAAATAATTAGCAAAATTTGTAAGTTTTATTTTTATTTGGTTCAACGAAACTGTTTTTTTATAACAGAAAATCCTCTCAATTTTAGAGAAATATTTACAATAATAATAAATAAATAATTAATAATAATATATTATAATGATTTTAAATATAATAGAAAAATTTTAAAGTCCCATATTTTATTTAGATTCCTCTCGAATTGAGAAGAATTTTCTTTCTTCTGAAGAAAATTTTTGTTATTGTATATGCAAAAAAAAATGTAAAATAAATAAAAATTTAAATTTAATTAATAATAATTAATAATTAAGATTAAAATATTTTGAATTTAAAAAACTTTGAAAAAAACACTTTTCTGTAGAAAAGTATAGAATGAAAAATATTCTTAAAACGAGAATATATCCTTGGCACCTGTTTTAGACTGTTTGATGATGTTTTCTTAAATTCAGTGTATTTTTCTCTTAAAATAAGAATAAATTATAACTGTTATTAATTTATTTTTTATTTTATACTAAAATTTAGATTAATTCTTACTATTTCAGTAATATAATATTTTAAATTTAAGAATATATTCAAAATAAAAAGAATGCATTCTAAAATTTATAATAAATCCCAAATAGGAATTTTTTTAAATTTATTCTTAAATTTAGTAATTATTATTCTACTGAAAAATATAGGAAAATATTCTAAATTTAATAATATTTTTCAATGTGAAAAATAAATTCTAAACTTTAGTGTGAATTCTAATTTATTTAATTTATTATTCACGTGTTATTTACTATTTTTTACTTATTATTTATATATTTATCAATTTTTTTTTAAATTTATTTTTAAATTTAATATATTCTCATTTTTGAAAAATGAAATATTCTAAATTTAAGAATATAAAAATTTATTCTAATCTCTCTAAATACTGTTGAAATGGGAATATACTCTTATTTTAAGAGTAATTATACTGACATTAAGAATAAATTGTTATTTGAATATACAAAACAGGTGTTAACTATATATTCTGAATTTTAGAATATTTTTTGTTCACAGTTAGAATTTTGCAAAATAAATTTTTTAATATGTTGAAAAAATGTCACTTTTTGAAATTAAATAAAAACTTTATCACACACCTAGGAGGAAAAAATTGAAAATCTGGTTTAGTAACACAAAATAAAAACTCCACTTTTGTCGAACACTTGGATCGGGGGAAAAAAAAAAGAAAATATTGAGGGGTGAGAATTTTTTTTTTTTTTTTTTGTCACGATCATCACACTCACCTTCGGGTTGTTCGGGCAAAGCGAGTTGTCTAGCGCGATTAACAACAACCCTTCTTCTTCCAATGGCAGATGTAAGGGTGGAAAAAGCCAAAAACACGAGGAAAATCCTCATTGTTGTTGTTGTAACCCTCCAATGGGGGGAGCGCACAATTTTTGAAAAACTCGAATAATTCGCGTATTTTTGATGTTATTGTTCCGAGCGCGATTTATACAAAGAAGAAGAAGAAGAAGAGGAAGATGAATCCTTGTCTCCTGAGTTCGTGTCCTGATGCTGGATGGGCTGGACCACGGCCGTCCGAGGGCTTACATAGGGCAACCCCCACTCTTTAGCATCCACGGTGTATATGCAGGGAACCGCCACAGGACCCCAATTACACGGGCGCAGGACCTCGAAGATACTCTTGCGCGCAGGAAGTTTGCTACGGGAACTCGTCTCTCACACCCAAAAAATATGTATCTCTCTCTCTCTCTCGACGAATTTATATATATATATATATATAAAGGATACGTGTAGGAAACACTCGGAGTCTAATCGTTGTTACAAGTGGACGTATCGAGCTGATATGGTAACAAACGAGGGATGCCATATATACATGAGACTTTGCAGATGGAGGAGAGTGAACGCCATTGAACTTGAACCTGAGATATGTGGCCGTGATCAGGTCGTTTGTCAACTTGATCAAACGCGTTCAATTACACCGCGCGTTTGGCTTTTATATTCTCGTCAGAGTAACAGAATTTTATTCTTTCAAAAGGTGTTGCTTTTATAATTAATTAGATGACTGGCTTGATAAAAATTCCGCTCTTCCTTTTCTTTCTTTCGTTGATTTTTTTTTGCTGCTGCTGCATCCTTTAAAAATTAAAGGTGGGGAAATTTTATTTTATTTTTCACTAGAGAAAAATTTTTATTTTTGGACGTTACAATTATTTTTTTTTGATTCGCTTCAAAAATTATTCTTCTTTCTTGGAAATTTTATTCTATTTTTCACTAGAGAAAAATTTTTATTTTTGAACGTTACAATATTTTTTTTGGTTCGCCTCAAAAATTGTTCTTCTTTCTTGGAAATTTTATTCTATTTTTCTTATTATGGATTATATATATATATATATATATATATATTTATGATTGGTTGTCAAAATAATAAAAAATTGGAAATACAGAAGTTCGTAGATACAAAGGCGATAAATATTTTAATTAATGTTGGTGTATAATTACACGAGACACAGGCCATGTAATGCAATCTAGACAAAACGACCAGTATGAAAATATCCCATTGAGACTGGTTTCTTCCGTTGTCTTTGAAATGTTCTCATAAATATCAATCTTCTTCCTAATTATCTTTTTCCACGTGACTGTATAGTAAATTTTAGCATTTTTTTTTTTCATTCTTATTTGTAACTAGAGCTTTTTAATTGGACTCATATGAAAATCGAGATGATAAATCTGTGTAAATTTACTATTTTTGTTGTATTAATTTATATATAACAAATTAATGATTTATTTAAATTAATTATTCAAGTATATTATATAATATTTATTAACTCAATTTTTATTTTACCTGCAAAAAAAAATACATTTGTAAAATTTAAAAAACGGTTAATTTTTTTCCTCGAAACCTCGTGACACAATTTGATAATTCTTGTTTGTATATTTTCATTATATTTGTGTAAAGTCCTTCGACGAAATTCTTATTTGCGAAAAGATAATTTTTAATTTATGTAAGTATATTTTGATATCAAGTACAGGACATTTAATGGTATTTGGTATCTATACAAAACGACTGCTATAAGAGAAATTCCAACTAAAAACTGGTTTCCTTTACTTTTATTGGCTTTGAAAACCATGCAAAAATTCTAACTGTAAAAGTTTCAAGCGTTTACGAAATTTTTTTTTGTTTTCTCAAGTTAGATATAAATATCTATTATATAACTGCACTATACATTTGGGGTGAAGAATAAATCCTTTGCGAAAAAAAGACGCGCTTGTATTTCAGCAGTTGTCTTTTTCAATTTAGAAATAATGCTAAAATATGGCATCTTTGAATATACAAAAATAAATAAAAACTACAAAGTGTGAAACTTGAATACATTTTACGATCGTATAAATGTCAATTTCGCTGGCAAAATTGCCATTTTAAAGTGCCATTCAAAGATAGATTCAGAACCATTCAAAAATAATTAAGAGAGTTAAAATTAGCAATTTGCATACATGGCTTGGTCAAGAAATTTTGCAATAGAGAACAAAAAAATTTCAGTCTATTAACAAAATTGTTTGGTTAAAAAAAACTAACCTAAGTTTGATCGAAATGACAAATGACAAAAAAAAAATTTGGTTAAGTCAATCAAATATTATTTGACAATTTGTTTTATCAAATAGAAAAATTTTACTATTTTAATAAAAATACTTTACCAAATAATTTTGATTGACTTTACCAAATAATTTGGTACAATTGATTAAACAGTTTGGTCGATTTAACCAAATAATTTGGTCTAAATGTCTAAATACTGCCTCTATCAGGAAGCAATAATTTGGTATATATTTAACAAGTTTGGTTAATTTAATAAAAATAAATATATTTAATTGGCCAAATAGTTTAGTTAATTTAATAAAATAATTTTTTTGACCAAATTTCCGTTGATTGAAGTATTTTATTTTTTTGTTCTCCATTAATTTTGTGATGGAGAAATTCGTTCTGTCGTTAAATTTTAAGGGGGTTGAGTCGTAAGTTGAGAACGTTGACAGCTTGAGTAACTCTTCGAGTCTTACCTTTCCCTGTTGTACGCGTATGATCATGATCTTGATTATGACGGCATATATAAGAAACGAGCTTCTCGTTGCGTCAAGGTCATTTTAAAATCCTCTGGGGTCAAGGTATTCATGCGCATTTTAAAAAACTTGATCCATTAAATTTTAATTATGGCGTATTTAAAAAAAAAATTTATGTATTCCAACTGGCATCTATTTTTTTTTTTTTTGAATAGAATTAGTTATTAGTTCTAGAAAAAGAAGACATTTGTCAAACTATAATTTTTTTTGTCATTTATGCTCTGTGTTTTTTTTTAAAGAATAAAATATATTTTCCTTCAAATTACAAATAAAAATTTTTTTTTTGTAAAGCTTAAAAAATTCTTTAATAATAATAATTCTGGAAAAAAATTATTTATAAAAATAAATCAAAAATAAATAAATTATTTAAAAATAAATTTGCCGCTAGGTGGCAGCTACTAAACACGTGTTCACATGTGTCTCGGTTGATTTTGTTTAAATAAAACGGTTTAAGTTTGGTCTGTTCTTTTACAACCTTATAGTTATAAACATTATTTTGTGCTGGTTTTTAGTGAAAGTTTTTTATTATCTGCACCATTTGCCTTAACTTGGCTCTCTGATTTGAATTTTTTCTAACCTAACATTGGACTGATATACTTGTGTGAAGTTTTTTGTTTATGTAACTTCAATTGGAACTGTTTTCGCTCAATTTACTTTTTATTTTTATTTGAATGATTATTTGTGTGCAAAAATGGCCTCTAGTGTTGAAAATTGTGCAAAATGTGGTAAAGATATTACACGTGCTATTCCTACTTTGTGTAGGAAGTGTAATCTTCCTTATCATCCCAGCTGTGCGTTACAGCTGTCTACTTTGCCTGATGGGTCGTTCACCAAATGTTGTAAACCTAGGTCATTGTCTCCTTCAAATAATTCTCAATCTTCACAAACCTCTGTTAACTTGGATAGTATTTTGAGAGCTATTAAGGTTTTATCAACAACAGTTTCTGATAATTTTGCCAATATGACTGAAAACATGTCAGATATCAACAAAAAACTCGATGACACACTGTGTAGGCTGAGTAATATGGAAAGCAGAGTTGTTGATTTGACAGAGCGTCTTAATGTTGTCGAAGAGAGACTTGATAAATCTGAGGCAAATGGTTCTACAAATATTGATTCTAATTCAGTAACTAATGTCTGTATAAATGAACTTGTTGATCGAAATGAAAGAAAGAACAATCTTGTTTTATTTAATCTTCCAGAATTGGACACTTCGTCAAATAATAGTTGTTCTTTGAAATCTGTGGTTACGAATAAATTAAAAAAATTCATTCAAACAGATGATCTTGAAAATATACGCACATTTAGAATTGGTTCTAATGCGCAGGTTTCTCGTAAGCCTCGCCCTGTTAAGATTGTATGTGAGACGGAAGAGAAGGCACAAGTAATTCTAAAAAAATTTGTAAGTGTCAAAAGAGACTCAACACGTTCAAGGGAGTTGGAAGATCTTTGGATGTCGAATGACAGGACGGTTATGCAGAGGGAGGAGATTAAGAGAGTGAGGGAGGAACTAGAGACCCGTCGATTAGACGGAGAAATGAATGTGTCAATGGTCTACCGGCGTGGAATCCCTACCATAATTAAAATCCCCCCTAGAAATCGCACATCCACTCTTACAGTCCAAATAGATGCGTGTAAGGAGAATCTATAGTGATTTCCCCACTTGGTGCCCAAGGTTGTGTCCCTTCCTTGAGATAAACTTATTTTATTTCTATCTATGAAAGTGATTTAAGGAAATACATATAGAACTAAACGTAGACATTGTGATTTAGATAAAATCAGTATTATTGAACAATAACAATTATTTTTGAAATTAATTGATATAATGGTAAAGCAGATTCTATTTATCGAAAATTAATCTTCTCTTTTGATAATAATGTAATTTGATTTATGTTATTCTTTACTGTATAAACTTATAATGAACTTTAGCCATTATAGCGCCTACCTAGATTTAGTTAATATTTTATATTTTGTATTGTTACTTACGTAACTATTAGAATTTAGGAGTACTTTTGTACGAAAGGGCATGTCCCGTTATGTTCTAAATAAATAAATAAATAAATAAGTAATAAACTATAAATTTTTAATAAAATTTTCATTTATAAATAAAGTTTTATTAATAGTATATGAAAAAAATGAGTTTATTAAAAATAACATATTTGTTTAAAAAAATATCTTTTTCCTCAATGTATTTTATATACATGTCTCTATGGGTTGACTCATAGGGAACTTAATTAATTAATTAAAAGAGATTGTAAACATGAATGGTAAAGTTTTTTCATTCAAAAAAAAAAAAAAAATATATAAGAAATAGAGAAAAATTATTATCTTATCTACAACATAAATTTTTGGACAGATGTCTTCTTGTTATACTGATGGTCATTGCACTCACATTGTATATGTATATGTGAGTGTATGAGAAAAAAGAGAGAGAAAGATGCGTGCATAAAATACAGTGAAAAAACACTAAATCGTATTTCACATTCAATATAACCGTTATCAGAGTCTTTAAAATGATGATAATTGTCTAGTCACTGTTTATTACGCAAAAAAAAACTTGTATTACATGCGGCCTTTCTTGACTCTATGATATG